CTTTATCATCACATCACACAGCGTGAGCACTGAAGCTATGAGCGTCCTCATACAACCCCTTGGAGAGATGAATCACTGAAAAGGGGCCAGGAGCACCCGGCAGTGAATTACTCCATGTTGCACCTCTCTCTCTAATGTTATCCAAGTGCCAATACAGGCAGATAATGAGAGAAATCAGGCTCTGATCTTGGCAGCAACAGGCCAGATACAGAAGTCCCTTGTGGCTTCTTTGTTTCCAAGTGCAGATCTTCTGCAGCAGAGATGGGAATTGGCCCCATCTCCTCTCACAGTAAGCAGCAGTGAGGCAGAGCACACAGACAGCCATTTGATTAGCACTGAGTACCATCATCAGCTATTTCATCCCCCCCCTCTCTGCTGGTAGGCTCCATTAGTGTCACCAGAAAGTGATGAATGTGTCTGACAAACCAAATACTAAAAATTTTCTCTGAGTCCAACACTCCAAAACCACTCACGACCTGCTACTAAACGTCAGCCTGCTGCCCTCCTTATCCTCAGGTGACCCAGACCCCTTCTTAACCTTGCAGAGGAAAACATCCCCTCTCCATTCCATTATTGACCCATCAGGGAGCATTAACGAAAGCAGGCCAGCTGAAGCAAAGGCAAAATGCATTGTTGGAATCCCAGAGAAGAGCAGTGATGGCGCTGAATCCCTCTTGCTGGCCTTTTCAATCCCACAGAAGGTGCTGTTGGACAGGAAGGTAGTGTGTTAACACAGAGACCTTCTTCAACATCAGTACCTGGATATCATTGTTTGCATTCTCCATTATGAATCGATATTCTCCCTCTTCTACTGTGGCTACAAAATGGGTTGTATTCACTCTTGAAGAAGGTTGCTCTACCTGAGGCAGCACTCTGTATAGGTGAATATTCCTAAGGAGAGCTATCAAGGCTGTGATATCAGCAGTGACCAGATCAGCAAAATTAAGTGATAGGAGTGGGTAGGATGGGCTGAGCCCAGAGTTCAGCTAGTCCAGACTTTACCGAGATGCTCCATGTATGCAGTAGGCCACTGTGTGAATACCTGACTACACTAAGTTCTTTCTGAGATACCTAAGGCTGAGGTTCGTTTTGTTCCCTACAGCCATCCTAGAGGGTAAGGGAACAAATTCTACTTCAGTGCTAATGCAGATTCTATGGATGGAATCATAGAATGCCTTGGGGTGGATGAGATTCAAAGATCATCCAGTTCCAAGCCCCTGCTGCAAACAGGGTTGCCAACCAGCAAATGAGGCACCAGATCAGGATGTTCAGGGCCCATCCAACCTGGCCTTGAGCACATCCAGGGATGGGGCATTCACAACTTCCCTGGGCATCAGTGCCAGGGCCTCACTACCCTCTCAGTAAAAAAATTCCCCCTGAAATCTAATCTAAATCTCCCTTCTTTTAGTTTAAAACGATTCCCCCTTGAGCTATCACTATCAGGCCATGTAAAAAGTTCATTTTCCTCCTGTTTATAAGCTCCCTGGAAGGCTGCTGTCAGGTCTCCCCCCATTCATAGATACACCTGGTAAGTGAGCTCAGTAGTTTCTGTGCCCATTCCCTTTTCTGAAGAGAACTGATGATGCATATCCCTCTGCACCCCTTCCCACAACAGGGCCTTGCTGTCAACACGTACTCTAAGGTGAAGGCAATAAAGTGCCAGATGAGCAAGCAGAGCACCTGCGGCTGGGTAATAACCAGCAAGCCTGAGCTGGTGATGATGCTGTGTGCTGAACCCTGCTACAGCTCAGCCACCAGATGAATCAGAAGAGGGCAAGGGAGGGAGACAGCCAGGCAAATGCTCAGATAGCACAGTGAAATGTTAATGTCCTATAATGAGGAGCCCTGGTGCCAGCTTCCATCACGAATTTGACAATCCCACTTTAACAAAAGCACTACAAACACATCTCTGCCCTTTCAGCCAGCTGCAGTGAGCCAGGAAATGCTGGCCTGAGCAACTGGGAAGGAAGAGGAGGCTGAAAGGGGTCTCCGGGTTAGGAAAGAGAAGGATAATGAGTTACTGTGGCAGTGATCTAATGGTACCTATCTAAGCAGGCCACATGCCATCAACTTTACAGCGTGCATTTCTCAGAACACCCTGCAGAGGTGGAGCAGAAACATTCCCAGAAGTTCAACATGCCCTACCTCTTTTCTTTTAATAAAAAAAATTGCAGGTACAAGAGAAATATCTCAGTAAACTAGGAAAAAAATCCTGTCGGAGATGAGAAACACACATCAACCTGCTTACTTCATTCCTTCCATCCTACCTGGAGGGTACGCTGTACAAATGAACTCTCAATCACTTCAAAAATGGCCAGAAAGCCATTTCCTGTCACCCAAATATTTTCTGCTGCTTTCAGAAGTTCCTCCCTTCTTGAAGACTGAATTTGAACGTTAAAGGTTTGCTTTTAACCACACCATCCAAACCGTAATTTTAAAATTGCTGTAAACATTCAGGCATTGACTTCTGATCCTAACCAGAGCACCGAAGAGATCCAGAATGTGAAAAGAGATTGCTCTCTGTTTCTAGCCATCCCTGTCCAGTGCAATAAATGTGATTTGAATGCAGCTACAGCCTACGTGGAACAAAGCTGTCCTCCTACTCATCATTTCCGATCTCGTGTCGTTTTTGGAGGTGGAACATCCTTGTGTCCTGTTTATGGGGCAGCAACAGGATGAAAGCCAACGACATGAGTTACAAACAAGAGAATTCCAAGTAGGAATTTGAAAATCATTACATCACATAGCCAGTCAAATACTGAAACAGGGCCCAGAGAGGTTGATTTTCAGAACTCAACAAGGTGAGAAAGACGATCCAAGTTGGCTCTGCTTTTAGCACAAGGTTGGACAGAAGACCTCTGGAAGTCCTTTTCAACCTTAACTGTTCTATGATTTTTTCCATCACAGTCATGGTTAGTTACTGTGATAGTGGGGCTGGCAAGTGCTAACATTCAATAGTTACCAGAAAGACCATTCAGAAGTCCCATAAAAATTGTTCAAGTCTTGAGCTGAAACAGGAGAAAATAAAAGTTCAAAGATCAAAAGCCAAGAAGATTATTTATCCCCATGGATAGCAATAGGACAAGGGGGAATGGTTTTAACTAAGGTGGGAGGTTTAGGTTGGAAGTTCTTCACCCAGAGGGTGGTGATGCACTGGAACAGGCTGCCCAAGGAGGCTGTGGATGCCCCATCCCTGCAGGCATTCAAGGCCAGGCTGGATGTGGCTCTGGGCAGCCTGGGCTGCTGGTTGGTGACCTGCACACAGCAGGGGGTTGGAACTGGATGAGCACTGTGCTCCTTTGCAACCCAGGCCAATCTGTGATTCTATGATTCACACAGACTGATAACAACATCTCAAATGAATAAAACAACCTTATGCTCCTCCCCTGACCTTCTCTTGCTGCCTTGGTACACTGCAAAACATACACCTCCATCTTCTCTTTTACTTTCTCCAGAAGGGGGAATGCTCATGTGTATCTGATCAAGTTGTTCTATGATTTCATCCTCTAATAAGATTTGGATCAAATGTGGTTTTAATCAACAACAGAAAAATCCCAACGTCATAGCATCCTTTTCTGTGATAGAAGGATCTTTATAAGCTGCTTCCTTAAAGAATCTCTTTCCATGCAACTTTTATGTCTTAAACTGACCTGTAGATGAAGAAAAGGCTGAAAACATTTAACCTTTGGCCTTTTCCATGCTTTCAGTACCAAGAAGAATCTTAACCTCAAAGATATGATGAAAGGTGCCAAATGGGCCTTAATTTCCATTCCCTCCCTACAGATCCAGCCTTTAACTTTCTGCATCACGTGTGTGGGAAAAAAAATATCAGACAAAGATCAAGGTGTATTACTGCATACTCAGAAACATCCCCATTTTATCAGTAGGGCCAAATTCCAAGCTCCAGCAGAACACACAACTGATTTTATGGCTGCTCTTTCCCACTGCCCCCAGCATTGAACAATTTATTCGCGAGGAATTTAGTACAAAGCTCATCAGAAGCAGTGAGGACTTGGGGGGATCAATTACCTACATACAGTTTCATCAGGGGACACACACACACACCCCTCGGGTCCTTTCACACTAGAGGAAAGCCTGGCCAACAGCAAGGATTTAATTACCTCGAGGCCTTCGCTTAGGACTGATCTACTTCTGTTCACAGGATCCATTTTGTTCAAACCTGGTGCATCGATTGACTCAGTGAATAAGTAAAAACGTAACGCACTAAACACATTTGGTTCCTGCAGCTCTGCAGTGTCTCTGTAACTGCACTCGTGGTAAGAAAGAAACGGGGGCTGTGCTTCCTGCCAGACTAACTTCAGATTTAATAACAATTACATAGAGGAAGAACACAGAAATTTTTAATTTGGATCCAAGGCAGAAAATGACCTTCTTCGTCAACTTAAACTATGGCAAAGTATTCTGTGCATCAAAATTTACGTTCTCGTGCAACTTACTTGACATATTTTTAGGACTTGGATGTACCCACTTCTCCAAATAACACTCTTATGGCTTACTAATGCCATATTAACAAATTAGGTGATAATATTTGGTTCTCAAATTGAATATTTTGAGACACCCCTCACCTCCCCCCCCTTTCCCTCTGTTTTTGTATTTCACAGAGCCAGGTGAATTCCTTTTTCATTCAGTACTTCTCTCACAATTACATTTCCCCAGAGGCAAAGGAAAGGCTCAGTGATCAACTTAAGGAGCACTGAGCTAAGCAAGCTGACATATATAAATGGCACCAAGAACACAGGCTGCAGAGACCTTTACATTCACAGCAACAGAATGATGCTGCATTGCCTAAGCGTAAAATGCTCCTTTTATTCCCAGCCAGAAAGGAGAACTATTTCTTCCCTCCTCCTCTTGGGAGAATGAAAACAGATCAGAACCTCAGACCAATCCTTGCACTGGCTGGAACTCAAAAGGTAGACTTGGGAGGGGTTGGAGGAAGATATAAAGGCTGGTGGCTGGAGACACAGAGTGGCACAGAACTGAGTGACTCAAGGAGAGGAAGAATCAGAGACATCAAGACACGAAGATGAAACTTCTTTTTTGCCCTGGATTCTTCCTGCTGCTTATTGTCAGCCAGAAGCAGGCAACGGCCAAACCTATTTCCAGCTTGCAGGTAAGTGCTGCTCAATAGAATGGAAAGAAATTGATGCTCCTTTAGGATGTAGGCGCCTCAGATTACCAATGTTTCTCCCAACCCCAGCTAAAGAAGTAGGAGACATTCAAAGGGAACACGACAGCAGAAATCCTGAAGTTAGGCAGGCAGAGTTATTTAATGGAGGGAAACTGAAGCAGCCAATTACTGGATTTACATTTCTGATCAGTTGAGGAAGCTGAAATGGAAACATTTTTCCCATGGGGTCAGTTTGGAGATTTCAGATTTAGGGTCATTCTATGATTGAGTGAAGCAATAAACTTCTGGAGAAGGAATTTGCCTAGAAGGGCTCCTTCCTGTAGACTTCGAGCAGCCACCTGCATGGTCCTCCCTCAAGCCTCTAGTTAAAGCTGAACATTGAATTAATAGGTTGTGCCTGCACAACTGTGAAGAGGATTTTCTCCTCTGTGCAGTGCAATAATACAGTACCTGCTCCTGAGCTCCAGAGGCAGAACTGGTAAATAAACCTAGAATCCTCTAGGTTAACTGAAAAAAATACCCAGAACCCCTTCATTTTTCTCCTGTCCTCCTCCAACCTTTCCTTTTCTACTTTTTTCCCCTGCTCAGAGTCTGTCCATGCTGTTAGATGAGGAGCTGGAGCATCCCCTGGTCTCAGAAGAGAGGGACCGTGAGCAAGATGGCTCAATCCCAATAGGTGCCTTTGAGCAGGAAGATGCTGAGTTCCAGTGGACCCGAAACACCAGAGATCAGCCTGCAAGGACTTCCACTGCTGACAGTGCTGCCCAGAGGCTCCTCAGTGACCTCTTAGGCTTACCTCGGAGATATCCAAACAGAATCAAAAAGGGTCTGTCCAGGAGCTGTTTTGGGGTCAAGTTGGACAGAATTGGGTCGATGAGCGGACTGGGGTGCTAACTGCTTACTGTGGTAAGAAAGTCATGGACACGTGGGTTTTGTGTATAACTTGTATAAATATGTAGAAGAGCTCATTTAATTAACCTTTAAGAAAGGGTGCCTAGAGTAACTTTCATCCCCCTATTGAAAACACAGTTAATTAACTTCACTGGCAGAATACATAATCAGCAGTATGCTTAAAACCCATGAAAACCACAGCTCTGCTTTACCTGCTTTTCACTCCTTTCTCCCAGTCAGATGTATGCACTTCATGTTGTCACAGATGCCAGATCAGGGAGGCTTTCACCAATTCCTTAGGGATTCTTCTGTCAGTCCAAACTCTGGGGATGCAGCTGGCCCTAAAACAGAAAGCAGTCATCAATTTCCATGTGTGAAATCCTGTCCACATCTCTTTTTTTTTAAACTTATTCTTTTGCTTTCTTGACAGGACTGACCTGGAGGGTTCAAAGGACCTGCTGGCTATCAGTGAGATATTAAGCCCTTATTTGCATTGGTTCCACCAACCCATCTACAGATGATGTACTGAACCTCTCCCCTAAATTACTTAGGGGAGACAGAATAGGACACACCATAACTGTATGCTTATTTGTATCAGAGTAATTATTTGTGAGCATCTACCAGAAATGTAAGTACAAAAAACATTTGTACTGTTTATGTAATAAATGTATAAATGAACAGTTTCCATTATGTCATGGATAATAAACTTTTTTTTCCGTAACTGGGTGAATTTGTTTCAATCCTTTGCTGCAATTCTCTTTTGTGTACCATTCCTGAAGGGGATGCAGTGCTGCTGTTTGCAATTAGACATAACCCACTAAAATTCAAAAGCATATTAGAATCTGCTCTCTGGTATAGGTAAATTGGAGTAACCTTCCTGAAGTTAAAGATCTCATACACAAGACACCCAGCCTTTGGCCACTATTGTTTGAATTTAAAGGACAACTGTGTTAGCTAAGTTTCGGTTTTGCTCCTTCTAAATGCAATTCCTATGGAAAGAAAAGAAGCCAGGATCTGCAGGAGAGCTACAAAGAGCCTAAGAAAACTTGATTCTTCTCTCACACTGTTCTCGATACACAGCTTTCCCCCTCAAGCCACAGACTTGCTCTAGGAAGGACATGAATGCTACAAGCTCACAAGAGCATATCATACAAGCACTTAAAAGCTGTATATCAGATACAAGAAAGCACAGAATGATTTGCTAATGGAGATGGTCTCCCCTTGCCCAAGCTACCAGCAGCTCCTCTCTGTATTTTCTTCTGATCTCTCACCCTTTTAATACACCTTGCATATTTAGAAATTAGTTTAATTCTACCTCTCTATGGCTATTTCAGCCTTCAGGATCTTTATCTCCTCAGACCACTAGTTGGGAGGTTATCAGCAATGGTGCCTCAAACCCTGAGCAGGAACTGCAAAACACATCCTGAAGGCTGCCCTACTTACCAGTCTCTATGAGGTCTTATGCCGTTTCCTACTTACTCTGCTTAAGTTAATTTGATAACAAATCAGCAGCAACAGCAAAAGCACCCTAAACAGTCACTTACTGGCAAGGAATGGTCTCACCACTTCCACAGGCACCTCCAAGCCTCTCAAACAATGGAATAACCCACATAATTAATTATTTGTGCTGCCTTTCTTAAGCAAAGCAACAAGTAAATGAAGTACTTCATCAATAATGAAAAATTAGAGCAAGGAAGGAAGGATAAGAGTACCTCCACTTGTCAGCAGCATTCACTTTGCACTAGACACGTAAAGCATGGTCTTAGTGCTATTGCTACAGCATGATGAGTGTAAGCAGCATTTCTAGATGGAGTCCCATTCATGGGCAAATCCTCCTAGAGTTCTACAGCCTGGTTGGACCACACATAAAACTCTCCTTTCTGTAGCTTCCATCATACAAACACCTCTCTCCTGTACATTCATTGCTCTAACTCAATATCCTTCAGAAAGAGAGCTTCTTTTCTTCCAGTAGAGAGAGTTACAATAAAAAGAAGCAGACCTTCACTCGTAGAAACCCCACAGGAAGCATCCAGCTCTCTTAAATACATTCCCTCTTGGGCATGCTACCCCTAGCGTGGCCCAGGTGCAGCCTAAATGGTAACAAGGTGAATCCACACAGCCTGCTGACAAGCAATGAAGGGCAAGTATGTTGTGACAGCTGGTGCCAATGGGAAGGTGTAGCATCCTTCCTAACGATGCTGGGTCTGAGAGCCTCCCTGCAGTAACCCTAGGAGCAGGTGTGCTCTCATAGGCCTGAAAGCTTCCTGATGGTGGAATTTGAATGCTGAAAACACTAAAAACATTAAAAAAAAAAAAAAAAAAAAAGTGCTACTGGAATCTGTTTCCTAAACATCCTCAGCCTGTTTACAAACTCAGCTGTACTACCTTGAAATTATTTGTGGATAAAATAAAATAGGTCTGAAGAGGTTGAAGATTGAGCTGTTGTCAACAGAATCCTACAGCAGGTGAATAAGAAATTGCTAAGATCTTCAACTCCCCCGACACTGAGCTGTAACATGGCATCCTATCAGCTGGCATTTGGGGTGAACATTTTAAAAAGCCACTATTCATAAGGAAAGAACAATTTATTTCACATAAAAGGCCCCGTAATTAGGTCCCTAGGACTGAAGCCAGATGTGTCTGTACTTTAGGCAATTTGCTGAGTTCTATTAGCATTTAAACAATCAAAGCTAACCTTTGAAGTTAGCATGCCAGTCAGACAGGGGAAGCTCAGCTCTAGCTGTGTCATTTCCATCCCCACTAAGAAGCAGTGCATGAATTTACCAGCCAGGGTTACAGGAGGAGCTGAGAAGAAAAGCTTGCAGTAAAATAACACCTACACACCATGAAACATACACATACCTTTCCCAAATGAGTCTTCTTTCAGGAAAGGAGGCACTGCTTGTTGTGATGTTTTAAACAAAACAGCTTGCTGACTGGTGGATGCAGAGATCATCGTCCTACACCATCTGATATTGTTTGATTCGTCAAAGACAAATGATGTCAGCTGTAGGCAGGTTTGTGGGACAGAAAGACCAAAAAAAAGCAGGGAAGGGAATGTAAAAGCATAATGTATGTTGCAATACAGTGTGTGGCAGTAAAAGTCCACAAAAACTTACTGTAAAACTCCTTGAACTCAGAGGAAAGGCATTATAGGATCATAGAATCATTAAGTTTGGAGAAGACCTATAAGATCATCCAGTCCAACCATCCACCCATCATTAATACTGCCACTGAACCATGGCCCTAAGTACCACATCTCCATGTTTTTTGAACGTTCTTTGGCTTTGCTGAGCTAAAGGGCAGACCCTGAGACAACAGCCCAAGCAGAAATCACTGCATATCTACTGAAATCAAAGAGATTCGTGGATGTCCAAGCAGACAAAGAGTGCAGAAAGCAGAGACCCAGGCAGGGATTGAATGGACCGTCTGCTGCTCTGCCCACTGGATTCAGTAAGAATTTACCAGAGTCATCTTGATTTGATCCTTGGTACAGGAGGGTGCAGCGAATGCCAGAGGAACAACTGAATGGCTCAGGTTGGGAGGGACCTTAAAGACCATCCCATTCCAACCCCCAGGAAAGCAAGATGCATCATCTCAGGAATTTGTAAAATCTCCTCAAACCAAACCTCATTCTATTCCCAAAGAACAAAAATATGTATGCAGAGAAGAAAAGGCTGTGTGGAGCTGCTGCAGGCAGGGAAAAATTCCAGCTCCTTCTTCTCCCTCTCAGCAATGAGAAATGATACATCCCTCATCCCTTGGAGAGGAAATCAACCCTCTTCTCGGGTAGCTGCTGTGCGCCTGTGGATGTGAAGCAGAGCAAACAGGCAGAAAGCACAAGGTCCTTCCCTGCATCACCTCCTCCCTAACAGTGATGGAGAGTGGAGGGGGGGAGGAAATCACCAGGAGAATGAGTGCTGCCAGGAGGGGAGGAGGTGACCTGGGGCAGTTCTCTCCCTCTGAAGGAGGTGTTGCACTCAAGGAACCCCCCTCTCCCAGAGGGTCACCTATGGGGCCAGTTGTAACCAGTTCCCTTATCGAAGCTGGGGGACAGAGCTCTGGCTCCTGTGGGGATCTGGAAGGAGGCAGCTGAGCTCCCTCTGGGCAGAGAGAGCAGGGATATAAGGAGAGGCTTCTGTGGGTAAAGTGAAAACACAGGGAGAGCTGGGGATAGGATAGGAAGAGAAATAGAGAGAGAAGGAGAGGATGCATCTGCTGGATCTTTGCTGCAAAGCCTCACTACTGCTGCTGTTTATGCCATGGGCTGGTGGTGAAAATGATGCGGAGCTGCAGTCCTTGCAGGTACTGGGGCTGGGACTCCTGGGGACATGAGGACAAGAGCAGAGCTGCCCATCTGATGCTGCAGTTGCCACTTCTCACCTCTGCTTCCCTCTCCAGGAGATCCTGGAGGCTTTGGAGCAGCTCCAGGAGGAGGAAGGGGCACCAGCCCTGGAAGATGAGCTGGGTGCTGGGGCTGAAGTTGGTGGCTCTGAGTGGGATCTCCAGGGGCTAGAAAGCAGCCCGGTGGGTGCCCTTCTGCCAGCTCCCAGCCCTCCCCAACCAGCGGGGGGACAGAGCCAGTGGAGGAGCCTCCTCTCCTCCTTCGGACGGAGGCATTTCTCCGGCTGCTTTGGGACGAGGATGGAGAGGATCGGCGCGCAGTCGGGGCTGGGATGCAATCATTACAAAGCCCGTAGGTCTCGGGTCAGATCCAGAACTCCCTGTGAAGTGATGGGGACAGGGGCAGCTGGCTGCCAGCCTCAGAGTAGCTCCCCTACCCCTCCAGCTCTTTGCCCTTTATTTTTTTCAGGTTTCTGGAGGAGAAGGAGAAGCTGAAGCCAGGACTGGCTCTCAAGCACTGGTCTTGTCCCTCTGCTGGACAGCCAGCCTCCCCCTGAAGCTTCTGGAATTTGGGGTATACAACAATAAACCTTTTGTATGAAGCCTCTAGTGCCTTTTGTAAGTGTTTTCTTTGGTCACAGAATAGCGCAGATATAGAACTCCTCCCCACCCCCCGAAGTCCTCCACTCCCTCTACCCTAAGGGCTTGGTCCTTGG